CACAATAAAACAGCGCGTGACTAAGGATTTAAATGCAGCTTTTAGCGCCAAATCAATTTGGAGATCGCGCGTGATTCAAATTTCTCATTTCCCTTTTTGAAATGAAAGCCATTTTCTTAGATTGGGTTGATACTCGGCGAATGCTGTTGATACCGTTTCCTTACAAATAAATATATACACAACACTTATGAAATTATATATATAGTACTAGTGGTCAAAATTCAACCAATAAAAAAAAGATCTTTGATCCAGCATTAACAATAAACAAAAGTGTATATGCTGTGTGTCTCAAATATATGTTAGTGTGCGTAATGTTTTTTTTATAGATTTTATGCATTTGTTACGCATAATAAAAAATAATATTAACATTCTGCAATTTCTGTATAGAAACTATAAGTATGCGAAATTTCCTCCGTTCGCCCAATTTTCGTAAAAAGGGGTACAAAGTTTTTGTTTCATGTATTAATATAATTATATCTACATAGAGTGAGACGAATTTCTAAGCATTTTGTGGATTTATCGTACGGGAGAGAAACTTCGAGGAGATCCCGAGACTTGCGACAGAGGTGCAGGTTTTTTTATTTTTTATTTTTAATACAATTTTCCACAGACATATTCGTCCGTGCTTTTTATTAATTTACTTCAATATTATTATATTTCTTTAATTTCCACCTTTGTACAACTCCAGAGGAGCCTCCAGCCGAGATGTTACAATTTGCCTAACAGTGGCACCGAGGCAGACCTTATCCGTCTGGCCCAGAACCACCGCTGAATGGCCAGGTGAGTTGACAACATGCAGTGTCACCTATCTTTATTAGGAGCCAGTTACATTTACCAATATGCATATACAATTATATAAATCTTACTACTACTACTAATTTCACAGTTTTCATTACATTGTGTTGTAGTGTTACATTATGAATTCTTACATTGCATATACAATTATATATGCAATGTAAGAATTCATAGTATTCATAGAGGTGTAGGTTTAAGCGGTTTCTTTCTGAGTTACATCAACATCTCACTACTCCTTTTTCATTTGTATTATGCAGAGGCATGACACAACTCTTACAAATTATACTAGATGGCGTTGTTATAAAAATAAAACGCGCTATGGTTTCATGGTTTTTTTTTAAGTTTTCTAAATTATATTGTTGTAACCTGTGTTGAAAGTTATTCAATAAACCATTGTATACACGAAAGAGTATTTTGATTTATTAGTACCGAAAAGGAATAAAGGAATCGATATAAACAGAGTAATAGGGTACAAAAGGCGGTCTCATCGCTTATGTAATCCTTCCAGACAACCTTTGGTACCACGTACCGACAAAAGGTAGCAGGAATTATAATTATTATTATCTTTCCAGAAAAAGGTTCAAATCGTACCAACAATTCTACTACGACATCGGTACTCAAGATCTACAAAATAATGACTTCACTTCGCTCTCGCCATTGTACCTAACATATTTATTATAGTATTCTAAGGAATTATTCGACATGATGCCTACAGCTACCATCGCACCGCTCGCCATCGACAGGGAATTCATCTCCACACGCTAGAACCTAAGTGGTCTCGGACAGTGCGGTTTCAGAGTGACTTCCTCCCGCGTACATTTATATTATGAAATGGATTACCTGCCGAGGTTTTCGCACGAAACTACAGCATCGGGTTTTCAAGATGTACTCTACAATAAGGTTTCTTAAGGGTCGGCAATGCGCACGTGATATTCCTGATGTCTCAGGTGATCAGGCTACAGTAAACGTTTACCATCAGACGTGCCGTATGCTTCTTTGCCGCAATCGTATTAAAAAAAAGAAACTCGATTTCTTTCTAATTCCATCGGTACGTAGCATTAATGACACATGAATTATTGAAGTAGCCATGCAATTGAGATTAATGTGCTCTGTTTAATTAGAACAGTAGTTAGTACACCACAAATAAACATTTATAGCTTTGTTTTTTTTTTACTACTGCTGTGTTTTATTATACCCTACATTTGTAGAATACATCTATCCGTCACTAGTTGCTTAATGTAGGTAGTTAATATATATTTTTGTCATATGTACATGGTAATTAATATAAGTTTGGTCATAAACGAAAAAAATTATATATATTTTTCTATTTGCTTGCATATTTTTATTTTAAGTTAAATTACTAATTGTATGTAACTTTGTGTATATGTAAATGCCTAATGAAGTAATGATCTTTTATGAGTAGAATTTTTATTAACTACTTAAGTGAGACTGAAACTATCTTGCATTTTTTTATATTAATTTTGTTTCACAGATTATACAATTTCTGACCATTTACTGGAATCGCCATTTATCTCCGGAAAACTAGAGGACTTTTTTTATTATAAATTAGGTTTTTTTTATGGATTCATACACAGAAGGCTTTGATAATGAATTTTGTAATGATATCAGAAATGATGAATATTCTCCAATCAACTATATTTTCGTTTACGTGGATATTACAGGTTATGTTCGCCAATTCAAATCCTATTATTATGATTCATTTCAAAAACGACACTGTTTACTGCCATATATTTTTTTCACGAGTTTCTGGCGGTAGTTTAGGGAATCCCGTAAACCTCTTCTGGCAAGTTCAGCGAAGTTTTATTATTAATAATAATATATTATGTATAAACCCATCATATACGAAATATTATGGACACCGCAAACTGCTTGCGATCGTAAAATTCAAAGTACATTATAGTTTATTACTTGCCCATCATTTAACACCCTACCATTTGGTGGAAACTACTATTGGCTCGGGACCCGTGGTACTCCACGGAATTGGTAGCCCACTAAAATAGGCTTGTGTAGTCTGTGAAAGACCTAGTTCAGAAAAGCGCTCGCAAATACGAACTACACTAACTTGTTCGCAGATTTTTCGATCTTTAGTGCGTTAGTTAGTTATATAAAACCCAAAAAGTTTCATTGAAATAAATATGAACACATTTGCAGGAAATATACTCATAAGCATAGCCAAAATTGACCAGCCTTTCTTGACTGTCTTTCTCTGACTCGAATTTGAAAGAACGAACGAATTTGCAAGAGAGCTGCGAACTAAAATGAGAGATCCACGAAAGAGTCACGAACTATTAAGTACATGGCTACACTAAAACATGGGCATCAAACCAAGATGGCCGTTACATGAGAACATTGCGGATAGTACGTTCCTATAACTGTTTTACACCGATCTAAAGTAACCAAAGAAAGGTTCCTTTTTTATGCGATTGAAATGGGTAACAAGTTGATAGCGTACTAGGTAGCCAGAACGTGTTACTGTCTCCTACATACTCATATATTTTTAATTGAGATAGCTCAGGGAGAAAGGTTTTTTTTATTAATGAGTTAGTGCATTGCTGGGACTTACAGATCGAACTCTATGCAGTCTCGTGCAACCATCGTGATATATTTCAGATAAATTTCCACGACAGAACTGATATCGTGTTCTTCACCGATACTACTCCACCTCCGCTATGCTAGGTACCATATCATTTCATATCCAATTAAAAAACATACTACGGCATCTCTTAACTAGTGCCAAAACAGAGCACAGTTTGGGTATACTATGAATACTAAAAAACTCTATATACATACTATTACCTTATACATAAAGACGAAAGGAAATAGAATAATAGTAGGAATAGAATTAATGAATACAATTCTTAATTCAACTATTTTTTTTAATGTTTCTGGAATCGATAGGCTTCAGTCCCTTTTAATCATGTACTCATGTCTTAATAATTCAAAATACATATTTTTAAAGTTATAAATTAATTTTTTAACTACATAATGATTACGATTATTTACTTTTTATAAACGTTGTATCGGCATTTTGTACACTAGTTCCGTGTTTTAGATTCAGTATACAGGTGAACGTTACGTCAAAGTTAATGGGTGCCATAATTCGAGTAACTAAGCAATAAACAACGGGTAATTACCGTTCTCAGCGTATTAATGCCGCATCCGTAGAGACGGGCCAATTAAAGTTTTAGCTCCTTGTAAGATTTCCCCTTGATAGCACAAAAGAAACATTTGAAGATTAATTTCTTTTTACATTTTTTTTTCTCACAAATTCCCAAGTGTTGATTATAAAATGTTAGAATTGAATATAAGATTTTTTAACTGTTCGTTACATAATACACTACAATAACAATCATTACATTCTATTATTATACATATAATGAATATGTAACGGAACTATGTATGTACATGGAAGATTTTCCAAGTTTATACAAGATAATTTCAGGAATGGCTTAACTAATTCGGGTATGATATTTTACTAGTGTAGTATAATTGTAAGCTTCACTTTAAACCGAGTACTGTTTTATTTTAATTGGATTACAAACAAAACAGTAATAAAATATTTATTGTAACTGGCAAATTAAAAATATTCTAAATTTGAATATAAACTTTTTTTATAGAGTTCTTTCTGTCCTGTTCACTTTTTTATTTCTTCCTAAGGGATTAAAGAATCCAACAAGACTATTATTATCGAATACCACGGTATAAAGAGTCGAGGGCTCAATTAGTTTTCAATATATATTTTTTTAATATTTGTAGACACTGATTGAGGTAAAATTAATGATAATGATATTGATATGAATCTATACTGAAATTTTGTACAAACTCGGTTACGTAGTTACCTCTATTTCACCTAATTCTTTAAAGTGGAATTTCTAGGTTTTAAAAAAATATTATCATAGCTTTAGTTCTAAATCAGATATATAGCAGTCTAAATGAGACCCCGATTTTTAAATCTTTACAACATTGCATGTTTGTTTTGCTCATTTTAGTCGCCGGTGTCAACGTAGCACGTCGTTTCTCACTTTTACAATGACTTTTCCAAACCCTACGAAGAGTCTACGAATTTCTACATAACGAATCCGATTTTCCTCAGATTCTGCGCAGTAAGATCATAGTATCTCAAACTGAATTACCTCATCAAAGGAATGTAGTAATTTCCTGTAAAGTCTACGCTAGTAACTTACTTTGTGTTTCCCCAAGTTGATTACTGAGCATCCTAGAACAGCTTCTCTGCCGATGTGAAAGGTATGATTGCCAATTGGACGCTCGAACTGGGGCTCATCTGCCATCTTACGATTCATTACGTGGGAGTCTGGAAATAAATGAAAAAACTGTTACACATACATAGCAATCAAAGTTATTTAATTAATAGAATTAAGACCGTAAGTCATGGTACATTGAATTGAAATATACTTGTGATAATTTAAACATATCAAGTGTTGCGTTCACCACGACCCACGACGTCGTTAGTTGATAATGTCTCTTAATAACCTATCTAGGATATTAATACATATATTATATCTTCAAGATATAATATATGTATACATACATACATATATATCTTCTACACAAAGTATATGGTTTATTATGGTGTGCATTGTCCTGAAATATTATAATTATTATCATTATATAGGCTGTATTATTGTAAATCTGTTATTTGTTATTATACGTAATAGTAATTAAAATAAATAGACGAATTGCCTTTAGCTGACAATAGACGGCGTAAAGAAAGAAAGAAAAAGGTTTAATTAAACCCTTTGATGGCCTCGGTAGTCTAGTGGTTTAGCACACCGCTTTCTATGGTCGCAGGTTCAATCCTCGCACTGTACAAACATTTGTTTGTATTCATGACTATAATGAGTGTAAATAGGTTGTATTGGTCTGGGTGTTTTCTATAGATATATATATTATATATGTATGTATTTACAAAAATATATATAAGTATTTATATCAGTTGTTTAGTATACATAACACAAGCTCTGATTAGCTTACGGCTGTATGCTGCTGTGTGTATTGTCCAGAGTTATTATTATATATTTGTATTATAAAAAAAACATAGCTTAGTTGCGAAATATAGTACAGACGCTACAAATCGAAGCACTGAAATTATCTCATAGTACATTAATATTACATATACACAGTACGGTCGTAGACCGGTATTTAATGTAGTATCCTATAATAATTGAAAGAGTATAATTATTTCACGATTCGATTAAACTGAACTAACCTGTAGTGTATTGAAAATTAATGATAGGAGACCGTTTACGGACACAGCTGGCCCGTTGTATGAATATTTAAAGACGTAAGAATGCAGTTGGCGACTGGCTTCCTATTTAAAACCTATCGATCCGTACTATGGGTTCAAGCACTTCATGAGTATATGAAATAATAGATAGCAAATCATGCATACTTATGTCAGTTTACTGTAGTTCTACTATTGTTACTATTGGACAGGTTAGAGAGATAGGAGCATAGCTTCTAGGAAACTTCTCCCAGCATTTGGATCTTTTCATACTAAATTTATTACGCACTAGTTATTATTAACTACTATCACTACTATCTGACTACTATCACTGACTTTTGGAGTGGTATATCTTTAATAAATAACTCATATACACCGGAATATATTTTGGATACTTTTACACGCTATTGGTAATATGTAGAGGTAATATGCAAGAGATGTAAGTTAAACATTTTTTTATTAAAAATAGTTATAACAACTATATTGTTCTTTTAGATTATTAAGTATAGGCAACGAAATTTAAATAACTTTGTTTAACGTTATAATTCATTTGTTTTATCTGTATTATGATTAGGGTCGTTACTATATTGCAAATTAAATAAATACATTGCAAACCTAGGTCTATTATTGACAAAGAATTGCAGATTTTGACAAAATAAAGAGCAAACACCACATGTTATGTGGTTGTAGCCCACTCATGCATAAACGAAAACCTTACTTTTGGCAAGCATACACAGCACGCTGTGGATATAAAAACTAATGCTCCTAACAATATCCTTCAATTCTTATTCCTAACGGGTTTAGATAGCGAATTCTAAAACAGAGCGAGCCCAATGGTATGTCGCTTACTCATTTAAACATCCAGGAATTGGCCTCTGACTATCCCATCTAAGATAATAGTCATAATGATATATTTTTGTTCATAAATAATCCAAACCTTTTAATTAATAAATAAATATAGTTTATGCACTATTTTTTATTACTGGTTCGTAAAAGCCTTTAATCTTTAATACTTAAATACTATAGCTATTATATCAAACAGAATTAATAAATACAAAACACCCGAGAATTATACTAAACAAGTAAGAACCGAAAGCTTTTGCAGAAATAAAGGGTCCGGTGCACCATATTACACAAAGGGCTGCTTAGTAATTACTAAGGGTCGTTCCCCTCGTGTTTTAATTACGAACTCTTATTGCGCTATTGATCTTCTGATGATTACCAGACAATCCTGAATTTATATAACTAAAATACTGCTATACGAAAAATATATATAATATATAAGTAACGTTGAGATTATTTTATGTGTGAATTATTGTTGGGAGTAATCATTTGTAATCTCTTTCAATATTTTTGTAAATAATATTCAACCACATTATCGGCTGATATTATAAGATGTTGATAAAACTGTTATAAAATTGGCAATTATTTATTAACCTTTGTTGACTGCTGCTTTCAGAATAAAATACCACATTGTCAACATTCTACTCCGTACTATATTATTCTCTGTATAGTGTATAATAGCCTATGCACCTATTGCGAATTTACTAATTTTATGGAAATTGTTTTTTTAATTGAAACAACAATTTTAAGGCTCTTATTCTTAAGTAATAGTATTAATTTTGATATTATAATAAACTTAAAATAAGATTTTTTTAAACTGTGCATTTGTCGATTGTATCCACGGCCTTTGAAGGAAGAGCCATATGACTATAAAATACTTTACCATTAAATTCATAAAATTGTTAGAATAACCTAACTTAAAAAAAATACATTTCTTTCTAGTGTTATAGAGAAACTAATATTTGTTCTTTAATTTTAAGTAAACATTTTTCTTGAAAACATATATTTACTAAATAAAAAATTAGTATAAAATATTCAACGAAATACACCACAGATACTGTGTGTGTACAAGTAATATTTCAACCCTAAAACTCCCAACAGCCTTCACACCAAATTAACATCGATTTCGATTCAGTATCACGAAGCGTTGAGTGGTTACAACACTTACAGCAAGCAATAAACAAATTAAATATAAATCATATTAAAACTTTCTGATGTTACATCGGTTTTCAGTAGATTACATTGTCGGGAACGTCCAGTTAAACATAACCCACCCCACCCCTCTTTCCGGTAGGCAAATTATTGGGGGAATAAAAGGTGTGTATGTGAACAGAGGTCAAATTAAACTGGTCTCTCTAGTTGGCCCCAGAGCAAACAATTAGCGAAAGTTAAACATGGTTCGACCCAAACTCGAACTACGGCAATTCCTCATTTGGCTTTGATGGGTTGTGGATAGATAAACGTAAATCACGTGTCATTTTGTTTACATTCTATGAAATTTACTGCGATAACATTTAGAATTATATCTATTATCTATATATATAATAATGATAATATATAATAATGTATCTAATAATAGAATATATATATCTTATTATAAACGCGAAAGTTTGTAAGTATGGATGGATAGATGAAGGGTTGTTACTCTTTCACGAAAAAACTACCGAGCGGATTTTAAAGAATCTTTACAATAATATAGCTTATACATCAGAATAATAATAATAAATAAAACGATATGATAAATGTCAAGTAAGTATTTTGCAGACAAAGTTGCGCGGGTCAGCTTGTAATGTAATATAAAAAAACCTACAATCGTTGTGAGGTGATAATTATTCATCTGTTTATCTGTTTGTGTAAAGACCATTTTATGGAATATATCGCATTTAATGAAATACACTGTAAATGAAATATATTTTACATTCTTAATTAATTTATTAATAAAATTATGATGCTATACATAATTTTATTAATAAATTGTAAAAACGTTTGCGTATTTTTATCGTTTGAATATCGTCAATAGATGGCGTCTACACATAATAAAAATAATAAAAATATCTCTGGATAATTCACATAACGTCAGCCAATTTCAAGCTAAGAAGAGCTTGTGTTATAGGTATAGATAACTGGTTGAAATAATTAAATACATATATAATATACATAGAAAACATCCGGATTGATAAAAACATACATACTCATGAATTATAAATAAATGTTTGTACCGTGCAAGAAATCGAACCCGCGACCATCGGTAGAAAGTGCAAAACCGCTAGACCACCGAGGCCGAGGAGACATCAAATGTGCACAAATACTTCAACTTTATTTATTTACAAGCGTTACTTCGCAAGCTTGGTATCGTTCAGTTGAATCTTTAAAAGCATTTCTTAGAGGTAGCTTTCGTTAGAAAATAAATCCATATTATAAAACTGGACTTTCTAGAATTTGAAGCTTTGCCTGTGCGGATTTTATAAATATAGTTGTATGGCATACAATATAAAAGGTATTTGTCAGACTTAACAGTACATTGTTTATCTATTTTTAAGATAAAAATAATTTTAGAACAGAATGGAATCGAATTAATCTTTATAAGAAGGAACGTTCTCGACTACCTGACCCGTGCTTCGTCTGCATCACATTTATCTGATATTTATCATTACATTTCGCCCGATTTACAAAATCTCTTTTTATATTATTGTCTATGTGTTATTCTGTTAAATATTACTATAAAGTTCATGAAAATCCGTTGAGTAGTTTTTCCGTGAAAGAGTAACAAACATTCATAACCTTACAAACTTTCGCGTTTACAATATTAGTAATATATACATGTAATTACACTGCCTTTCATCGGAAACAGCGTACAAAGCAAGCTACATGACGTGGTAAATGAAATAAGTGTGAAATAATTTAATTTACAGAAACAAATCAAATCATAATAATATCTTCATTTCGTAGACTGATTTAAAGTGAAAGTTCTCACAAGTTAATACCAAAAAGCCATTTAAAGGAGGCAATCAAAAGCCTAACATAATAATTAACTTTGGCACTAAAATGAGGAATCTAATTGCATTCCAGCTACGTTTCGTACCGTGGACCTGTTCGCATAGTCACGCCACTACCTTAATAAGCTCATATCCATTCTACTCCGGGATCCTTTTATAATAAAATAAAAATATAATATAGGGTCATTGACCTTTACAGCAAAAAAAAAATCATATAAATGTTGATATACT